CCGAAATAAAGCTCATGCCAATGGCCTAAGTGGTCACCTTTAATATTAAAAAAAAAAAAAAAAAAAAAAAAAAAAACATATATTTCATAAAATATATACAGTTTACAGAATTTGAAAATATAAAATACTTCAAAAAAAATAAAAAATGGTGCAATATCACTTTTCTGTAATAATTTAATATAAAATAGAATTTAGAAATCCAGTAAATCATTATAAAAACATTGATTAGTAATCTTCACTATATATCTTGCACTATGTTTGTGATTAAGCCAATATTTAATTCCCCAATAACTAATAATTAATAAATATAAAAAAGCTTAAAACATACTTATCTAATTTTCAAAAATTAACCCTAACTTCTACAAATATATATTATAATAATTATTGATAGCTTTTATGAAACAGAGACCTATTTAGAGCAAAGCCATCTCAAGCCAGATAATTAAATTGATAAATAAGATAGTCTGACAATCAAATTAGCTATGATCTTAGAACCTTCACTATGGCTTTGAAACTAAGCCATCTCAATCTAGATAACTGGTTTGAGAAGTTATATTAGCTAGCTTGATTACTAGCCAATCTATCTCTATATAATAATATGAACAAAGAATAAAAAAAATTAGATCTTTAAATAAATAAAAAAAAAAAATCCTATATGCATAGCCTCAAAAAGCAAAATTAAATATGCTGAGCATTTTTTTAGCATAACTAATGATTAATAAGTATAAAAAAGCTTAAAAACATACTTACTCGATTTCATAATTAATTTAAAAATTAACTCTAACTTCTACGAATATATATTATAATAGATACTAATAACCTTTATGAAACAGAAATCTATAATACTTCACTTTTTAAAGATCAAGATATTTCTGATAATAATATGGTTACAAATATTGCTACTACAAGCAGTAATACAAATATTGATTTTAATGTTCCTGTTACATTAAATAAAAAAAAAACCAGATCTAAAATTTCTGATATTAGATCTTATTTTAAACCAAAAACTACTGATGCTAAGGAGATAAATTGTAAATTTTGCCAAACCCTATTTAGTAAAACTACTGATACAAGTAATTTGCACAAGCACCTTGATTCTCAACATCTAGGTTAAAATAAAAACAACCAAAAATCGAAACAAAAACTTCTTACATTTATATCTGAAACTACAATTTTAAAACAAACCCTAACATTAGCTCAAAAAAACACATTTTATTATGTTAATTACTAAATGGATTATATTAGATACCTTATCTTTTTTTATTGTTTCAAGCAAATCATTTGTTAAAATGCTTTAGTATCTTAATATTAATATTAATTTACCCTCATGTGAAACTATAAAGTCTAATGTCCAAAAGGTCTTTATAGTAATACAAAAAGATATTCTATCTTTTTTTGAACAAATTTCTAGTAAAATCTTTATTATATTGGATATATAGACTTCTTGTGCTAATATATTTTTTCTTTGCATTATAGCATATTGGGTAGATGATGAGTAAAAGCTTAAAAAAATCTTATTTGATATTTGTATGCTTTCTAATCTGCATACTAGTAAAGAGATTGATGAATGATTGTGCTCTGTTCTTGCGACTTTTAATATTACTAGCAAAATTTTTTATGCTACTACTGATGGAGGTTCTAATGTAATTTCGGCAATGCAATTATTAAAAGAGAATTTAGTTTTAAAAAATAATTTTTAGTTTCATTCTCATTGTTGTTTGGCTCATATATTAAACCTAATTGTAATAGCTAGTTTATTATCTATTAAATCATTAGTTAAAAAAATACGTAACTTTGTTAATGTTATTTCATCATCATCATCTATAACCCAGGATTTTAAAGAACTTGAACAGTCAGTTGGTGAAGGTAAATCAATTCGTAAAATTCTACAAGATGTCTCAACTTGGTGAAATAGTATATACTTGATGCTTTCAGCCTATATAACTATGCATACAACAATTGTTGCAGTTATAAGATATAATAAGAATCTTACCAAATTTAAACTTACACCACAAGAAGAAACTAATCTTCAAGTTACAACACAGTTTCTTAAACTATTTTACGAAACAACTAATATTCCTTCTAGTAGCAATTATATAACTTTAAATATTGCTATTTTACTAATTGATGATATTGTTGATAATATCTTATTGTGTATCCAGAATCCAGCAAGTCCCAAATTTCTTAAAGAAGCCGCAACTCAAATGTTTAAAAAAATTCAAAAATATACTAATGAAATCTATGATAAAACAGCATTTATAGCTGCTATTCTTGATCCTTAAATTAAAACTTGATGATATGAATACTGAAGCAAACCTTGCTATTTTCAATAATATTTTTAGAACAGAATACTTCACCCCTATTTTAAATAGTTTATCTACAAATTTAGAAACACCATTAAATTTAACACATACAAAACAGATAGCTCAAAAAAAGCAAAAAACAAATACTTCCACTAATAGAACCAATGAATTTGTTCAGTATTTGAATAAAAATGTTTTATCAATGAATATTGATCCTTTAAACTAGTAAAAACTTAATTGTACTTATTTTTCAAATTTGTCTCAGATGGCCAAAGATTATTTGGCTATCCAATCCACATTGGTACTTTCTGAACAGGTATTTTCTAAAGCTGGTAATACAATTCGAGTTAAACATACATGTCTATCTGAAAAAAGTGTACAAGCACTTATGTGCGTAAATTCTTAGTTAGAATATGATATTAAGTTTCATAAAGAATGATTTTACTATAAATTATATATATATAAGTGTATACAAATTTGTTAAATTCTAATGCTAATACAAATTACTTAGCTAATATTTAATGCTTTGTGTTTATCTTCAACCCTATTCTTTTTACATACAATTTGCCAAGATCATATATTTTATAATAATTTTCTATAACATCAGATACTTTTCATAATGATAGCGATATGTGAGAATAGTCGAAGAATTTGATTATTTAAATACAAATCAAATAGATTTAACTTTAATTGATTTCTTACTATATATTTTTCTATTAAATTAGTAAATTCTAAACTGTAACTTCTTTTGAATATTTCTTTTTTATACAATTCACATAATTCACCAATTCTTTTTTATTTAAAAAATTCTAAAACTCATTTTGTATATAACATATTTACTGCCATAAAGAATTAGATCTGTTTTTAATAGTTGTGATTTCTTTTTTTTTTTGCTACCTATTTCTGTAAATGGAGTAAATAAATTCCATAGTATATTTTAAAAATTAAGATATTATTGAGTCACTGACTTTTGGTATAAATCTATTTTAATAGTATCGTTACTTGCTTAATAAAAAAAAGACTGACTTCTTGAAAAGTGTGGATTAGCAAATATCCTGAAAAAGAGAGAGCTTAAGCGATTTATAAATAGTATAGATTTACTAAAACCCTTACTTTCGCACTTGAGACTAAGTCACTTTCATTTAAAACATTTTATACCCAATCCACTTATGTAACGTATTTTAGCGTTCACAAGGGGTAAAATCCACGAATCTGATTGGATGTAATGTTACCTCTAACGGCTCGGCTTGGCTTGAGGTTGATCGGCTTCGGCTCCAATTTATAGGGCCGAAGGATCGGCTTGACTCGGCCAGTATCGGCTATGAGCCGAGCCGTTTGCATCACTAATTATCTATTATAATTAACCAATCAGAGTACACAACCTACAGCCAATCAGTGTACGCTATTCGAACGGATCCTAACGGGTATACCGGATCGGATCCCCAATGTGGATTCGAATTTTGTCGGATCTTATATTTGTGGATTTGGATCCGATCCGACCCCTCGGATCCGGATCGGATTTGCGGAACACTAACAACATACCAACGGGCTATAGATATAGTAGCAATAGGGGTTGAAATTAGCATTTCTGATAATACAACGCGAGATAGAATCCAAAGCAATATTGTCTATTCAAACAGCCACCTTCGGAAGATTTCAAATATTACCAAGTACCCTTTTTCATATTTGGTTGTGCCTATACCGATTATAAATACCACTCAAATGCCTTTTTCATCCTTGTTTGTGGGGATGGGGAAGTTTGATTTTGATTTTGTTTAAATCTAATATATGCAAATCCTACATCAATCAAATAAATCAAACCAAATCAAACTTCCCCACTCTAACTTTGCTGTACCTGTGTCTTTGTCATAGGAGAATTCAACATTAATTGCCCACTTTAACCAATTTCAAATATCACACTAACGCCTTCATTCTTGGCTGCATCTACGCCGTTTCTGTAAAAGAATTCATGTTATTTTGTTCATACTTTCAGCAGATTGCAAACCACTTAAACACTTCGTCTCTATCATGCTGATACTATAACGCGACGCGAGATAGAACAGACTTTGAAATAGAGTTTGGAACCGGCTTTATTTCTCATATGTTAAAATCGGGTTTAACATATGAGAAATAAAACCAACTCCAAACTCTACTTCGAATAGGTTATGTACAATAATTAGGCCATGTGAAATTAATTAATTGGTTTTCATAACCCGGCCGGGTCAAATTTTGAAAACTTCTAAAAAAAAATTTTTATATGTTTTAATAACCGGGTGGGTTTTAAAAAAATTTTTTTATATAAATTTTATAAAATTTTATGTATGAAATTTAAAAAAAGAAGCCGGCCGGCCGGGTCTATTTTAAATTTGATGTTATGAAAACCAAGTAATTAAATTTGTATGGCCTTATATATTTTATATTTCGAATTTTTTTTTCGCTATATAAACAAATTTTCATACAACATACAGTATAAATTCTATTTACTAATATACCCGATTCTACTATTACACTGCTCTCTTTAATCTGGTTCAGAAAAAAATTTGCTCTCTGCGAAGGTTATATGAGTCACTTGGTAGCGATTTTCTTTTTCCCTACACAGGGATACTAAAAAAGAAAATTAACTTGTCCCAGTCACCACGCGGAGATGACAACTCGGAGTTTTACCCAATAAGAACGTAACATGAGTGAATAAATTACCGTATTTTCGTGTGATAACTAGAGGTGCAGGCGAAACTCCATAACTTATCGTAGCTTGTAACATAATAAAGTTACGGCACAAATGCCATGACTCATTATAATTAAAAGAGATAGTTACGACAAGTTACGGAAGTTTCACCTGTACCTTTAGTGATAACGCCCATCTGCGCGTTATTTTGAGTATATGTGCGTTATTTTGAACTAAAGACTGATCACCCGACATAAGAGGACATTTGTGTAATTGATTAATTTACTTTATTCAAACATGTGCATGTTAATTTCGAGTAATACAATTTTCGAAATAACGCCCATAAGCGTTATTACGCGAAAATATGAATACTCAAGAAAAACTCAATCTGACCTAGAGTTAGGCGCTGACGAAGGTAGTTAATAAAAGACTAAGGAATATGCCGATGTTAAATATGGGAGTAGCCTAGGGTGAGGGGCACAGGAAATTTTTGGGCATGCCTTGGACTAGAGGCATGCCCCTATTATCAACATTGTTTTTGTAGAAGCAGTTAATATTATTATATTAACCAATCAAAAGGCATCTTCACTTATATGTTTTTTAAATACAGTAAAACCTCTATAAGTGCACCCTCTATAAATGCACACCCTCTATAAATGCTCGCTGAAGTTCTGGCCCAAATAAATACATGCCCTTTAAATGCACTTTCTCTTTTGATCTCTAAGTGCATGTTGTTAAAGCGTGGTTCCAAGAGCGTGCATTTATAGAGGGTTTACTGTAATAATAATAATAATAAATAAAGAACTTGCATTAAAATCTTTGTACTTTTTTTAGCCCTCCATATTGGATGACCTATAGGTGAGTTCTCAAAAAAATATACAGTAAAACCTCTATAAGCGCACCCTCTATAAGTGCACACCCTTTCTAAATGCACACGCAAGTCCTGGCCCAAATATATTCATGCCCCCTATAAATGCACTTTCCCTTATTGATCTCTAAGTGCACATTATTAAAGCTTGATCCTAAGAGCGTGCACTTATAGAGGTTTTACTGTATCAAATAAAAGAGCATGCCTTTTAGCTTAAAGGCATGCTCAGGGAGGGGCATGCACAAGGGGGCATGCCCAAGAACCCTGTGCCCCTCACCCTAGAGTAGCCAAAGAATATACAAAAACCCAGAAACTTTGTACTGATGTTGAGATAGAAAAAAACTATACTAATAAAATAAATCGTTCTGCCTTGGGAGTCCAATAAAATTTCGCTTTACCATCCCGTTTGAGCTGCGCCCGCAGCGATAATTCTACAAAAAAAAATAAGAAAATTTCCCGTGTCTCTGCTACCTACCATAGATACATCATAATTCTGTAATTTAAATGGCACAAATCGTGCTTTCAGCCAATCAGAATGCGTTATATGCTAATTCTGATTGGATAAAAAAATTTAAACAATTTTTTTTATATTATAAGCCAAAATTTTGAAAACTTAATAGCTTTAAATACTTATAACTTTAAATCATAAGCTTTTTTAAAATTCTATCGATAATTTGGATAGTACTGTACTATTGAAAAACAATGGTACATTAAAAATTTAAGATTTTATGGATGAGAAAAAAAAAATAACGCGTGTGAAAAATTACCGCATCGTCATTGAACCCCTGTGTATGTGTAGATCGTCACTAAACGTTGTACAGATCGAGATCAAATACAGAATAAATAAATAAAAAAAAAAAATTTTAAAAATCTTTTCCAGTCAATCATGCCAGCAACAACGTACGATTACTTTTGGGAATTGGCTTCTTTAGCCTCTTCTATTCGAAAAAAAGCTGCTAGCGAATTAATTACCCATTTATATGAAAAATTTGATAATACAAAAGCAAATATCGATTCAACTGATGATTTCAATGATTTTTCAAAGTACTTTTTTTTTGAATGGCTTAAAATATGTAATCTACGCGAATCAGTGTTAAAATTCCTTTGATACTTGAAGGGTTACGGAGTTATTGGAAAAACTATTTGGACCCGAAATTGCCTACTCATTGATTCGTCTAACAAGAGGTTTGGCAAGTCCACGTGCAGGCGCCAGACAAGGTTTTGCTTTGGCGCTGACAGAGGTGCGCGATCTGTTGTAAATGCCAAGATAAACCTTCAAATCACAATAGAATTGAAGATTTGATTTTTTCATACAGCTTATTGCAAATCTAGATCGCATTACATTTAAAATTGTCATTACACTTATCGATGAAGCTTGCCCTATCTCAGCATCTAAAGATCAGGTATTGTAAATATAATTGAGTTCTGGGGTTGATCCAGTTGTGATTTTTAGATCAAATTTTATTGTTCTTTTCATATAGGAAGGCCTTGATGTCATTTTTGGTCGTGTTTTCGGCTATATGGCTATCGTTCGATCAGGCCTTCTTTGGCGAGAAAGCTCATCCGAAAGGGATTATTGCGAGACTATCAACGGTCTACTTGCTTGTGCGAAGTGTAAACCATACGTTAAAGAAGCCTGCTATCATGTTATTATTTCTAGTATATCTCAGGTAAGCTCATGATCTCTTCCTTTTTTTTTTTTAATATATAGTTGAATGAAGATTAAAATTTTTTAATACTTAGTTGAAGATGGTACCTTTCGAAGAAAAGGCCGTATCTCATTTAATATCAGGTTTGCAGGATCAGAATACACATGGAATTAGGAATCCTGATGACGTTAATTTAGCACTTACCATCGAGGCACAATATCCGGTATGAGATATTCTTACAAAATCAACATAATCTGCTTTTTCCATTAACGCATTGGTACGCTCACCCTTGCACATTTTGGTAAATTGTTGTTTGTTGGACCTTTGTACACTGTTGGCAATATTAGCAATTCGTACATAATTCTCAGTGGAAGAAAGTTATATTGCACAGCTGTGAGAATTGTGAACTTAAATGGTCCGATCCACATATTCTTCATCATGATAATTTGATAAAGTTGTCTGAAGCTATTCAGGTAATCATTCAGGTATTCAACATAGGTTCACCATAGCGATTATAATTTTCTTCAATTTAATTATTCGGCGAGAACAGGCACGCTCGG